TTATCGACATCTCTATGGGTTATTTAATACCGAAATCTAATTATTTTGGACACAATTTTATGGCTTCAACTAAATATATTTTGAACTCAAATTGTATACGACTTTTGTATATAATTTTATACTTTCGGGGTAAACGAATGTTTTATAGATATATAGTACGTACGTGATTTGTTGTAGGTGTTATATATGTTTCTCCCGAAAGAGAGGTAATGCCCTAAGCGAACGACATCCCTACCAACCAAAAAGACTAGAGCATAATATTAATTATGAAACTCCCTGGTCCGGCTGAATCAGTATCATTCATAACATGTGGAATTTTAAAATACTTCAGTCACATATTTTTGAAGTCAGTTTTCCAGGAAGAAAATATAATTCGGTCAAAAATTGGATTTATTAGACAAATTTTTTTTATTAAAAATTATATTTTATTTTTATTATTTATAATTAAATAATTATTTATATTATATAATTTAAAAGATACTTTTTATTACTCATATTTATTTTATTAGGCAAGGATTTTTTTGTCTTGTATGAAATTTTAATCGAAGCTACACTGCCAAACAGAATAAGTGTCTACGAAATAAAAACTAACTTTACAATCGATTGAATTTTTATAGACCAAAAGACCTTCAGCCTCATACGTTTTAAATAGCGTTACAACTACGTACGTTTTACAGTCAGTATACTATTGCAAATGTCTGTGTGTATATCAGTTTTAATAATTGATAAAAGACAGATGCTACTTAATTTCGTTAATTTTTCGATATGTGTCCATTGACCGCATTCGACAGATTCTTATCCAGTCAACAGAGCAAGTCGATGACAGAACGTGGCCGGGGGGGGGGGTAACATAGGGAAGGTACTTGTCGAGAGATTCAATGGATAGAGGAAGGAGGAGAGCCATGATCGCCTACGTCCTGAAAGAACATAGCACATAAAAAGAAAAAAAAATGGTTGATCGTCTGCTTGGATTATTACGAATGCGTAGTAGATTCAAATAAAAATATTGGTGCGTTTTAATTTGGCTTTTAAAGACAAAGAAATAAAAGAGTAAGCCAAGAAGCATCCGAAGAATGAATACGTGTGAAATATTTATTTCCAGCTATCCTCAAAGTAACATTCACTCAGCGCCGACGAGGCAGAAATTTAGGCGATTTCATCAGACTTCAAAATAAATCATTGCAAATGGAGGAAGAAAAAAAATCAGATACAAAAATATATTTCAAGTTTAAAATAATTGTTTATTCATGTACGGATTAAACGGTCTGTGAACAATAATGAATAGTTAATGTAAAATCTTCCAAACATTTTCCCCTCTTCGACTTACGTTGAGATGCCGAAATAATTCGAGAGTGAAGGAAAACAGAGTTATTTTGTCTTTGAATACGCAGCTGGGGTGGCAAGGTTATTCCAATCTTGTGAAAAGCTTTAGGCCTTGTTAATTGTTTATTGTATGACATTCAGAGTTTTTCCTTCCCAGTTCAGTATGTATTTATTGGATTGAGGGGGGCGTAGACAAGGCATTAAACATTTGACTTCTAAATGCCTCTTCAGAACACAGGCGTTCATAGCTCTCCAGAGACCTTTTTACTTTATTATCTCCGAATTGACAGGATTTCTTGGGAAAAGAGTCATTTTTCGTTTGCTTTCTCAACGGTTTTGTAGTCAGAAGTGGTTTTCCTTGAGTGGTTCGCCAATAAAGGCTAGAAAACCAATTTACTGTTATTTAACCTATAGAAGAGGGTAAATGGATTCAGCACCTACCCAAGACATTAGCATAAAAGCAACGCTACGGACGAGGCAGGAACTTGAAATCACTGTAGAAACAAAAAGATAATTTTGGGCCATTGAACGTTGAAGCGTTGATTATAAACGGTCCTATCGAAAAAATGTCTTTAACCTTTTCGTAGTCACTGATCTCCGACAACCAAATTTAACGATTTCTGTTCCATGTTTAAGAAACCTCTCAAAATTGGTAGAAAGAAACACAAAAAGTATATTATTTTCCAAAAAAATATCTGCAAACAAGATCCAGGTTATGTCAAATAATAAAATCGTCGCAAAAGTTACCACAAAATCTCTAACATTATATATCAGCTTCATTTTATAAATTAAAAGGAATTAACATTTCCAAGTCAGAGTTTATTTTGTTGCAAAGATTCATATAAGAATTCCTCTATGTCCGGAGTTCATAAAGCGAGTAATTTCAGGGTTTCTCATTGATTTTAATCTTCATCAGAAAAAAAAAATCGATTTAAATACCCTGACCGTTAATTGAACTTTGTTTATTGAAGTCTGCTTCAATTTATTTAATAATTAGTTATGAATTCAAACAAATTACTACACATTTATTCAAGTTTAAAAATCCATTGACATTTTGTATAGGCATTACATTGTAAAATTCTTCAATAAAAATAATCCATGCAACAAATATTTTCAATAACATATGCATATCTGGAATGCATCTTTTGAGTCGGGCAATCTTTTGAAGGGGGTGGGGAGTGTGATGACATTCTGACATATGGTGAAAAGCGTGCACTGGGCAAAGGGGTCGAGAACCCCAGATCAATGTGGACTGAGTTAACGAAATAAGGAATTTGTGATTTTATTGGTAAGTTGAGATGTGTGTCGTATTAGTAACTTGGAGCTTAATTCAGAAAGTAGTAAAAATATAACTTTTTTGTTCTTGTAAGATCTTCAATTGATAACGTATTACTTTTAACAAAGTACAACGTGAAATCAGGCTGGCAGTAAAAAATTGGAAAGTCCCAAAATTACGCAAGTTGAATTTCTCAACCAACGATCGAGGCTGCCATTTTCTGCGTCCGGGTTGAATTGACGGGGGTTAAATTTGAGAATTACAAACGGTGACAGTTTGTTTAGGCACTTTCGATTTGCAAGCTTAAAAAATGGGTTTTGAGGGATTATGGAATCAACAGAGTAAAAATAGACAAGCATACACAAAAAGGAGAGAAGGAATAATGAACACATTTGTTGATTTCTAAATATAATAAAAACATGTTAAAAATCGCTACACAATAGCTTTCATGCTTCAGCACTAAAAGTTGTGCCTCCTCAGGCGATTTTTAAAAAATTAAGTGCTACAGATATTGAAATTATACTGTTTTTATCCCATACCCGGAGATACATACATACATACATACATACATACACACACCACAAGCAAAAAGTTTTAGGGGAACTGAGTGTCTTAAAAAAGAAAAAAAAAAAAAAGCGAGATTTTTGTATTTTTTAAATAAAAGATAAAATTTCAGTAACTACAGTATATTTGCTTTTATTTTGACAAAAAAAAAAAAAAAAAAAATAACAAACAAAAAAAAAAAAAAACAAAAACAAAAAAAGATGGCAGAATTTTTCCGAAGCAGTGAAAAAAAGTTCAATGTCACACTTTAGATATTCTCTTCGAACTCTATCCAATATTTTTTTTTTTTTGGTCTCGGGGTAATTTTGATATAGTTTAGAAGAGTGTTTTGGATCGTTGTCTTCTGAAAAGGTGATTTTTCTATCTATGCGTAAACTAAATGGAATAGCATGTGTTTGTAAAATCGAATAATTTTTTTTTCCTCTTCATGATTCTCTTGACCGGAATCAAAACGTCAACTGAGAGGTTCATGGTAAAATATGTTTCCCATACAAAATATTCATAATTTAGCAAAATGTCTTGTAGACGGATTAATTCAAAATTGAACATTTTTGTGGTAAGAGGAACCTGGAGAAAGAGTGAAAATAAAAACAACTACATTGTAGTTACTGGAATTTTTATCTTTTATATTGAAAAATACAAAAAAAAAAAAAAAAAAAAAAAAAAAAAAAAAAGGTGTTTTTTTTTTTTATGAAATGCAGTGGGAGGGCAAACGTTTTGCGTGTGCGTGCGCGCGTGTGTAAAATGTTTATTTATTCCCACTAAGAAACTGATAAAATTTAGAAACAAGACAATCATGCGCACAATCGAATAAAAAAAAAAAATAAAGAAAATGAATTGCTAATTTTTCACCAGGAATTTCTCGGATAATGTGTTGTTACTTACATTGTAACTAATATCCTAATTTTAATTTTTTTGTTTTTTAATAATTTCACCCCAAGCAGGCGATAATGCTATGAAGACGCAAGAGGTTACTGGGAATGAAAAAGAATGAGAAGGTTTTATTGCGGAGAAAGGACAATAAAAGAACAGGATTTAGGAAGACATGAGATGGCGATTGGCGCTGCATTGAATTTTTTTTAAAGATCTTAGATGGCATGGGGGCAAGAAATTGAGTGTTCCACAGCTGAAAAGTGTGAGAAAGACTATTAGAATAGAACTTACGGTTACATCTAGCTAGTTCAACAGTAAAACGGTGAAACCTAGTTGCCAGGCAAGTACTACGCTTAAATTCATGAGGTCGAGGTGCCAAGGATGAGAGCTCATTAAAACAATCGCCACGAAAATATCTATAAAAAAAGACAGGAATGTTATGTCACAGCGGTGGGAAAGTGACTAAAGTTCGAGATGCCAGGTAAGGACCGATAACATTACAAACCCTTTTTTTTTGTATTTTGCCGCGAATCTCGAGATATATAGCAGGGGTACCAGACCAGCAATATTCAATCATGGACGAATGGTCGGTATTACCATTTTTTTCAACCGTTGTACTCTCCGACCTTAGTGGCTTTATTGCCTTGCTTGGGATGAAATGATTAAAAATAAGTTCTAGACAGAACAATGGATTGATAGATCCTACGGTTTAACATTTTGCAGGTTATTTAAAGTCAGAAAATATTTTCTTTAGATTGTAAGAATTTTTTGAGGTAATAATTATTTAGTGATACAAGTCTTACAAATTAATCAATATCTGGTGGGGGTGGGGGTGGTTGAAGAAGAGGTGGATTCATACCTTTTTCTAGGGTAAGTGAATATAAAGAACTCAACGGTAATTGGGGTCCGTCTTTCCGATTAACAACCCTTAGCCATTATCTATTACAGCATCCGCACACCCAAGCTTACAGCACCTGGAATTCTCAAGCGGTTACTCATCTAGGTACTGAACAGGCTTGACGTTGCTTAACTTTGGTGATCAAACTAGGAACCAGTGTTTCAAAGTAAAGATTGGAGATAGACGTCTAAATGAATCCACACATATTCTAAACAGGTCGAGAATAGAAATAAACACTATATTGGGGGGGGGAGCAATAATAAATAAAGTGAAACGTCAAAGTTTCAACAGCAGCAGATTAAAAAAAAAAAGATGAAAGTAAATACGAATCAAAAATTAATGACTGACAAAGGCCTGTCTAATGGAAATTATGAAAAATAAATATGAATAAAAAAATTTAATAATAATGGCTAATAAAATGATCTCATTTTAAACTTTCTTCGACGCCATTCTGCGTTCAAACGAAAGAAGTCAATTATTCCGAATAGTATCCTAGTCTTGGTCACTTAGATTACTACGGTTCAGCCTATATGTTCTACGGTCTTCAGGCAGCTATTGCAGCTTATACGCCTGGAGGGTTAGCCAATGACCCCCCCCTCCTCACACTTCACTGTCACTTCCTCAAGAACACACAAGCCAAAACGTCGGGATAAAACAAGGGTAGACATTAATCCGATAAAAATGAAAGGCTAACTAGACGAAGGCCGAAACAACGAAGGAAAAAAATAAATCTTAGCAATATTCTTTCTTTCGTTACTTCATTTATCGATCTTTATATTCTCAGTGATTCAAAGTTTGAGACTGCCCATTTGATAGAAGAACTAATTACTCGAAAGTTAAAGACTGCTTTCGAGGTGAAAGCAGTAAGGTCTTCACGTAACAATTATGGAGCATTAGTGTTTAATGCTTCACAAATTGCAGCCATCATTAAATACAGTTGGCCTTTCGCATCCGCGGATTGGGAATATCCGAGAAAAATGCCAGAATAATTTCAGAAAGTAAAGTGTATATTTGCTGCGCGCCCGACATTACCATGAATCCATAAGTATGTAAGGATAGCCTAGCCTGTCGTAGCTTACCGCCATTTCAAAGATTTTGTTTCCCTTCAACACTCGTCGTTCGTCTCGCATCTGAGTCGTTAGCGTCTTTTATTTTCACACTTTGTTCCCCACAACCACCACGGCATTTAGAAATATACAAAGAATGATTCGTTCTTTATGAAATAAACACCGAAAATGTTATTAAAATTTTTGAGATGGCTGAGTCGAACTCAACAGATTGTCAAAACTAACAACAGAGAGCACAGCCATTCTGCTTCCATTGAGTAACCAGGTGGGGCAATTATAAAAATGTGTGGGTTGCTTTATTAAAAGCAAAGAACAAAATAATGTCAAATACAGACAGATTCTTGATCTCGCCAAAGAATACTATCGGAAGTAGCACAGTATATAAGCGGCTAAATAAAGTACAATGGAAGAGAATACCGTATTTGATGCACGTCACGTTAAATTATCAAAATATTACATTGCAACGGTAATATGATTAGGAGAACAAACATTGAGGGCTCAAAGTGCAGTCCTTCCGACTGGGATAAGGGGCGTTGCAAAATGATTTTGCAAATTATGTATCTTATAGGCCACTACATATAGTGACTTAATATAATCGATTCACCATATTTCATCATTTGATACAGAATTATGGTTAAAATATTACATGCTACATCAATAAATACTTGAATTAAACAAAAAATTGGTAATAAGTAAGCGCTTTGGGTAACGACGTTGCAGATATATATAACAATTCGCCCCTCTGTCGGGGGTCGATGGCCTAGGGTTAGAATCTCCGATTGATACCAAATCGGTCGGGTTTCGGTCCCGGCCTGAAGCGATCGGATATCTAGCCACACTGATGAGCTGTGATACAGCGAAACTGTCTGTGGATGACGATATATATAACCAGCGAAAGAGAGAGCGTGAGAGAAAGAAACAGGCATTTTCGATAAGCCAATTTAATTTTTCTCAACAGGTCCAAACAAATTTACGTTAATCCTTTTGAAGAAGCACTCTCAGCCGATCTATCGAGATTTGAAAAGCTAGTCTTAACACAAAAAAAAAAAAAAAACAAAAAAAAAAACAAAAAAAAAAAAACCATGACCGTCTAGAAAGCGTTTTCCTTTTGTGTCATTACGAACGCCTTGTAGAGATAGCTTAGGAAATATTCAGTCTCCGGAAAAGAAAAGTTTCGAATTTCATTAGCGTAGTTCGAACACCTTCACCCCATCTCGTCACTCATTTGAATAAGTTACCTGCAGTCAGGACCGAATTAAGCTAGTGCGACGCCTATAGTATTATATATAGGGCACTAAATTAGAAATACACATCAATATTAAATCATAAATTATTTACTAGCATAGGAATAGAGCTTATACAGCAGGTAAATGTCGCTTATAAATAAGCCGGAAAAAAATATGAAGCAATGATTTTGTAACGAGATCTCGAAGAAATTTAACATCCTCGATATAATGTTACCTGAAATGATGACTAAAGATACACACGTCTCCACCTCCATGTAAGCATTAACATTTCTAGATCGGAAAATGCAGATTTCACCGAACGGCTTAAAAGTATTTAATGCGGGGCCCGTACCAATTGGTACTTTTGCTACTAGGCTAATCCATCACTGCCTGCAGTTGATTTTTCGGCCATTGTAGTCATTTTTGTAAGGATTAAACTTAGGTCGACGATAACACGGATAATACTTTGATTGTGGGAATTCATGTACAAATCAAAATTGTTGAAGAGAGAGAGACACACAGAGAAAAAAAAAAAAACCCCTTATGTACCACCCTCAAGCCACAACCTTTGTGTGTACCTGTTCAAGATTTATTTACATCGCTGGCAGGGATTTAGGATTTGCATTAGAACTCTGTACTCAAAGACCTCCGAGACTAACTTTCTTAGTAGGAAACATTACAAGTGCAAAACATAGCACCAGAGACTAGTTTAAGTCCATCCTGGACTGCAGTGGCAAGAAAGAATGGACAACAATTTTCATTCAGAATTGAACCAAGGACGGTTAGACTTACAAAACAAATCCAGGAGTTTCAAGCTTGATCATATATATATATATATATATATATATATATATATATACACACATACTGGACAGAGAACACCACTGAAGAGAGAGAGAGAGGTTTGAAGGTATCAGCGCATATGCTAGGCTATGTGGAGCTCCTTTGTGGGGCTATAATGGAAATAATTACTTACAGTATGGGAACCATTAATAAATAAAGACAATTGACAGCAATGTTTTAGTAGTAAGAAAAAGAGAAACAGCGGCTGGTAGATTAGGATTAAGGCGCCAAATTCTAGGTCCAGGTGTGTCTCAGGAGACAGTAGGCAAGTGGATTAACTCGGTGGTAACATAATAATTGTGAATTCAATCCCAGGGCCAGATAATAGTGTAGGCTTAGACTCAGTTGAAACAGGACAGGCTATAAGTGAGCAATACTAAATAAGAACTCGAGCGAGATATTCCGAGACAAGAAGAGCGGAACGAGAACAATCTCCAGTCATAGATTAAATAAAAAGAATGCCTAGACTGATACCCGAAGAAAAAATAATAAAAATAAAAAATGAAGACAATAATCCGAATGTAAATAATGATAACTCCTAATCCCAGAAATTGAGGATTAGGATTATCAGATACTATTTTTTCCTCCGAGAACAAAAAGGTTTCTTTTTGGATTCTGGTGCGAAGTATAAAGCGTGATTTTGATTGGAGACCGACTTATAACAACGAGGGGGAAAATCTTTGGTTACAAATCTGATCATAAATGAATATTTAACCTTTGTTGAATTACGATCACTTTATATGAACAATGTTGAGTTTGGAGATACAAAAAAAAACAAAAAAAAACTGATACCCAAGCCACAATAAATCAGTTTATTTAAACGCTAAAACTAAAAGCCACAGAACTGTCGCAGTTTCTATGAGACTCAATTTGAAGTTACACCACTTCATCAAATCCAAGTTTTGACAAGAGTGATCAAATGCGCCATACACTGCACAGTTTATAACGATTTTGAATGACTAAACAGAAATATGGTTAACGGGCTCGTCTCGCCAGATCAATTACGACTGAACAATGAGTGATCCTCACTGGGTGCCCCATACTTTCGGCCTTGTGCCACATCTAAGCTACGCTTAGTAAATCAGTATAGAAATAAGCTTTGATTTGCATTTGCAAATGGTAGAGAAGGCGGCTGATGTCAATTTTTTTCTTTAACAATGATGTTCCCCCCTCTACAATGCCCAAGAGGCACAGTTTGTGGGGAAGATAACGGTTAGCCCTAGACTTGAATAAGATTGTAGTGACCGGGGAAGCATCCTCTTGGAAGTCAGTTCCACAAAGCAGCGGTTCGTAGGAAGAAGCTACTAGAATGGAATACGAAGTCGTTCAAGACACGTGACATCCCTGGGAAAAGACCCGTTTATCGCGATAGGTGAAACTCCATGGTCCGATCGGTGATGATGGAATATCACTAGTTTGGTTTTCGAGACATTGAATGTGACCAGCCATTTTTTGTTTTGTTTTATCTCACTAAGCCGTTGAAGTTCATTCGGGGAGTGATCAACTGTCAAGCTATGGTCATCTAGAGTTTGGGAGGTGCATCCTGTATACCGTTGTATCATCAGCATAGGATATTCACAAATGATTGGCGTATACTCTTAAGCAGGTTAGTTACGAGAGGTCGTCTTAAATAGAAACAAAATACCCTCCTATTGTATTTCAACAATACGCGTAGCCCTGGCAAAATTTGCAAGTATTCTATAAAATGAATACTCCGTGAATTTCATATAATGCAATATTTTACGTTTACAAGGTTGAACACAAGAGTATTCAATGTTTATAGCTATGAATTGGGGGGGGGCATCCTTTTCATCGCTAAGTTGAGAGGCGTTAATGAGCGTCTCCTATTTTGTTTTTAAAATATAGTTTCAAATCTGTAAGTGCTACTCAACTTATGGGTTTCATTATTGACTTGGTAGACATGATCATTGAAACAAGAAAAGAGGAAACGAATACATTTCAGATTTTTCACAAAGAAAATCTAATTAATAAGCAACACATCCTAGAGTTCAGGTCTTAATTACAATCT